GTTGCTGTGAGCTAGGCTGATGCCACAGCACTCTAGCCAGGGCAACAGAGTGAGACTCTGTCTCAAAAAATATATATATATATAATTTATCTTTGACTATCCCCACCTCCATCCTTTCTTCATGTTTATCCCCATAAGAGTCTATGCTTTTCTTTCCCACACAACTGAGGTGAGTTGTGGGGAGAGGCAGCCCTGGCCAGAATCACCTTTGACATCTTTTCTGTGCTCCTCCTCTATCTTAGAAAAAAATATTTTTTCATCTCATTTTGCAGTTAAATGTGTCACAGCACAAGAGAGATCCGCTGTCAGACAGGTGGTAAAAAGCCCTTTATTGACATAGAAGCAAAAAGAAGTAATGAGCAGAACGTATGAAATCTCAACAGACTTGTTTCTAAAAAGAACAGACACGATCCTCGTGTTAGGCTCTCCTTGCTTCCTTGGAAACTTCAGCATAGAATGGACAGAGAGAGAGAGAGAGAGAGAGAGAGTCCACTGAAGACTGTGGGTTACATTTTTCTCTGTTTTCTTGGAGGTCCCAGCACAGTTTTGTGGGGAAGCCTCCAGATCATGTCTCTCATTTGAGATTTCTCAAAGTAGAATCTGGAAGCCCTGTGAAAATGTTGTAAGGATAAAATAAGAAGACTGTAAAAAATCTGAAAGTTTAGACGATGAAGTAGAAGCCATGAGACTGTAAAGAAAAAAACGTATCTCAGGCAATGGTGGGTTGGGAGAGTTTAAAATGGAAAAGGAAACAGGAAAAACTTGCATATCAAATTGGACTTGGAATCAGAAGACCTGAGTTCCAGTCTTGACTCTGTTGCCTTGGGAAAGTCCTTTTTTCCATCTTTTGGGCCTCTGGAAAATGAGGGAGTTGGATTAGGAGATCCTTAAAGTACATACTAGCTTGAAAATTCTGTGCTTCTTGAAAGATTCCCATATAGATTAATTAAATGCTGGAAAGAATTGGCAAGAAAGACTGAAAATGTAACCCCTTGGCCCCACCTAGTAGAATTATGAATCAGCTTTGTTCAAGGACATATAACAATCCTGGTGAATGACAGGTCATCAAGAAAGAGTTTCTTCACCCTTATAAACCACAGTGGCCTTGTACATTAGCACAGGAAAGGAACATTAGTTTTAACAGAGCACAGCCATATCACAAATGGTTATTGTGTTTCTTTTTGCCTCAAAGTTTAGAAAAAACAGAGCCTATATTAAAAACTATATCTATTATTAACACTAAAATCATAACTGAGCCTGCCTTAAAAGAACATGAAATTCCAGGACTTAAAGGAGAACCTCTTTGGCTTTCCCCACATGTCATCTCTACCTACTATGAGATACCTGAAATTCCAACATTCATTCCTCTGGCTTTGACCCTTAGGACTACAGATACCAGTGGAGAAATGACAAAACCAGTGGCTCCCTTCTCAACCTTTCCATCAATAAGGAGAGCTCTTATTATTATTTTTTTCTCCTCCTTGGGCCCCATTTTTCAAGGAACTGGTCTATCAAATAAACTTTATTTATTAAATAATAGTCATCTGTTTTTCCAATTTTTAAAATATTTCTCAATGATACCTACTTGCAGTCTGAGCTTCTTTCATGACAACACAATTAGCCAGTTAATATAATTCCACCTAAAACCAAAGAAATCTGGTGCTATAGTTAACCTGTGCAGTCTTTGAGAGGTTAACAATATAATCATCGCTATTAGGCTTTTTGAATCATTGAAAAAAGTTTACAGACCTCCTTCCCCACCAATTCGCCCCTGTCTTTACCACCATCATGGCTACCATCCTGGATCTATTGGCCAGGGATTATATACTCAAATTCTTACAGGTGTCAAGCAAATCCATGAGTGAAGCAGGCTAGAGGTAAAACAACAGGGAGTGGTGGGGACTACGGCAAACAGAGAACACATCCATATGTAAAAGAAGGCCAAGAGTTAAACCATCAGGGACAGATCTTCTGATTCTTTAAGAAAAGTCAGAAATCTGATTTTTTTATGTGTAATTCTCCTGATTTTAAAATGTTTTGTTTGTTTTACTCCTGAATGTCTAGGAGAAGAAGGATCACGTACCCCAATACACGCCATTCTCTGCAGGTAGGTTATAACCCAGTTTTGACTTGGGCTTTCATTGTCTCATGCAGATTTTTATAAAACAGTTCTGGTAATTGTCACTCATAGCTTTGTCTCCCCCAGAGATCAGGCATAATCATGAGGAACTAAGTCAGAGGACAGTTAGTTATACTGCGCTGAGGAATTTACCTGCATCCTTTGACCCTATAAACAACCCTATGAAATAGGCATGATTGTCCCAACTTTGAAGATGAAGTTACTTGGGCTCAGAATGCTTAACTAACATATAGAGAGTGACTAAGCTGAGATTCACACCCACGCCGATCCAAAGCCCGGAGACTGGAGTAAGGGAGACAGTATTACAGAAGGGGCAAAGGTTGAATAATAAAAACATCATCTCTCTCATAAAATGCCAAGAGTGCCATCTGTATCAATCCTACTTCTAATGACCTGTAGAGAATTCATTTTAGTAAAGAAAGGGAATTTACTATAATCTTCGTTGGAGAGCCTTTTGAAAATGTTACAACACTCCCTGAGTTAATTTGCAATACCCTGGAGTGTGGCAGGATTGGAGCTGAGAATTGCTGCCCTAAATATTTGCTTGTCCTTCTGGTGACCAAGTATTGTTCTTTGTCAAAGGGTTTGCATAAATCATTTCTTATCCCTACAAGAACCCCTGAAAGGTAAGTATTGGAATCTTGATTTTATGAGTAAGGAAATGGAGGATTAGAGAAACAAAACAACTTGCTTGAAGTTACACAACTAGCATGAGGTAGAGGGGACATTCAAAGCCAAGGCTGTCTGACCCCACAGTCCACACTCCTTCCTCTGCACCGCATTGTCCTGGGGCAAAGGGGTGAGAATAAAGGTACCTGAACGGGGCTGAGAGTATCTTACTGCTTTAAGGGCCTGGGAGTTGTGGCAGAGATGCTTATCATTCACTGAATATCCCTGTACCATTCACATTTCCCTGCCCCCTTGCCAGGAGAGAGTCCATGTGACTAGTTCTAGCCAAGAGGCTATGAATAGAATCATGGCGTCACTTCTGGCAAAGCAAGGTTCTTTAGGTTCTTTCTTCTCCTGACATGGCAACTGTGGAGAGATGTGAGAGCATCTGTCAGCCTGGGGTTCTGAATAACCCTGTGAAGAAACAGACCCTTGTATTAAACCACTAGATTTTAGGGTGAATTTGTTGCTGCAGCCTAGCTTAGTCTATTCTGACTAATTCAGGTATTTTCATTACAATAAGAACACAGGAGAAAGTTTCATCTAGTTTAATAAAATAATGCTTAATTTTAGGGGTAAGCTCCTCAATAACCCCCATCCCTCTCCCACCATGGACTCTG